TTTCATTCCCCTTTGTCTAATCTACTGAATATCTATTCTTTCCTCTTCCCCTTAATGTGGGTTAGCTTCCACATATCAGAGAAAACATTTGACCTTTAGTTTTTTGGGATTGGCTTATTTCACTTAGCATGATAGTCTCCAGTTCCATCCATGAATATTAAATATCATAAATTCAATCTTTTATGGCTGACATTGTGTATATATACCATATTTTCTTTATCCATTCATCTGTTGAAGGGCACCAAGGTTGGTTCCATAGCTTAGTTATTGTGAATAACTTAGTTTATGCTATAAACATTGATGTGTCTGCCTCACGGTAGTATGCTGATTTTAAATCCTTTGGATATATACTGAGGAATGGGATATCTGGGTCAAATGGTGGTTCTATTTCTAGTTGTTTGAAAAATCTCCATACTGCTTTCCAAAGTGATTACACCAATTTGCAGACCCACCAGAAATGTATGAGTGTACGCTTTTCCCCTTATGCTCGCCAACATTTATTGTTACTTGTATTCTTGATAATTGCCATTCTGACTGAAGTGAGATGAAATCGCAGTGCAGTTTTAATTTACATTTCTCTAATTGCTAAAAATGTTGAACATTTTTAAATAAATTTGTTGTGACTGGAGAGTTGGGACTTTTAAGAGGTGATTAGGTCCTGGTTTCTGTCCTCATAAGTGCACTAATACCATTAGATCAGGAGGAGGTTAGTTATTGTGAGGGTGAGTTCTTGATGAAAGATGAATTCAGACCTCTTCCCTCTCATTCTCAAGTACTTTCTTGACCTTCCACCTTCTGCCACCATGGAATAATATAGCAAGGAAGTCCTCACTGGATGCGGGTTCCTTGACCTTCAAATTCCCAGACTCCAAAACTATAAGAAATAAATCTCTTTTCATTATAAAGCAACCAATGTGTGATATTCTGTCACAACAGCACAAAACAGGCACACACACTGCAACGTGGCAGAGTTCTTTTTCTTCCTCTAATTTTACTTATTCTTCCAAATACTCTATCATAATTATATTTTATGTAACAGGCTATAAAGAATAGAAGCTTAAAAAAAGCTTAAAACTGAAATGTATCTGGGCATGAAATCTCTTCCTGTAGTTTCTTGTGTTACAGCCTTGGGCAAATGTGCTTATATGCAATGAACATTAGTTTTCATGCTTGAAGAGATGCCGCAATTTGTCTGGGCACAAAATAACCGAGCCACCACAAAGCCTTGTAGATTCCAACAGCAACTCTTTATTCCCGAACTCTCACCGACACTCTACAGGCACGTTCTGGGAAAATACACTCCCTTCACCGGGCTCTGCGTACCAATTCTCTCAGAACCCCACGAGAACTCCACGGGAACTCAAGGAGTGGGCGCCTGAGGCAGCAGGATACGCCCTATTCCCAGCAGGATCCACCCTAAACCTGGAGCCACCCTAATCCAGCAGGATCCACCCTAAACCTGGAGCCACCCTAATCCAGCAGGATCCACCCTAAACCTGGAGCCACCCTAAACCCTGAGCAGGGTCACCTTAACCAAAAATGCCATGTCATTCCTACTTGGCTATGGCTCTCAGCAAAGAGAAGTTTTAAAAAAAGTAACCACAAGGATGTTGTAATGATTAAATCATAGAAATCACTTAGTGTGACACCTGGAACATACCAGGCACTCAAAAATGTTTAGGTATCGATTGTTTAAGCATTATGAAGTACTTGCTCAAAACATTTTTGTTAAAGTAAATGTTCCATGAAATTTCAGAAATTCCTCAAGTCCAATTCAGAGAGTATATGAGTCAGAATTCCAGCTAGAGACAGATGGCACTTACACCCAGAGGGGTGACTAAGAAGTTTATCAAAAGACAATTTACAGCATCTGGACAGGGGTAATGGAGCCCCAGGGTTGGCAACAGTGGGTTGGAAGGTGCATTTACCTGAGCCCAGTAGGAACTGTAGCCTCAGAGAAGGGGAGCTGTCCACATCCATAAAGGAATCCAGCAGCTGTCAAGGCAGAGGCTGGATAGAGGCCCCACCCTGTTTTCCCCAAAGCCCTTAGAATATCTTTCACCAGTTCTTCTCATTGGCTCAACCCAGCCACAAGCCTGCAAGCTGGGGTCTTGTGGAGACCCCACAGATCAGCCCTTGGACAGTGAGCTGGATGGACGAGGTGAAGTACAGCCTTGAAACCAAATAGAGACCTCAAGCACATCCCCAATGAAACTAAGCTTCCCTCAGCCTACGGTGTCCATGCTTGCTCACACACCATAGATGGAAACCATCAACACTGGGGAATGTTTCCTTGGTATTCACTTTAAAGGAAAGAATCAAATAATAAGCACTCACATGGGCTATTTGGTCACTCTGTCTACAAGTGTGTTGGAGACAGAGCAGGAAGAAAACTGCCACATATATAATTAAATTGCCTCTATGATATTTTTACCTTCACACTTGTGGTCACACTTCATTTTTCTACCTGGGTTGTCTTTCCAACTCTCTGTTCAGTCCCTAGAGTGGGCTGTCAACTATCCTACTGATGTTAGAAAAGTTACTAAAATTTATTTTTGCTTCTTGTGTAGACCGGGAAAAAGATTTATAGCTTTCTTGGAAAGGCCTGGAAGGAGGCTGTCATCATTTCCTGGCTTTGTTCTGGAACCTCCCAGCTTCTCCACAAATCCCTCATGCTGGAGACGATGATTGTGGCCAGGAGATCAGATTCATTTTCTGATCTGTCCTAAACTGTGGTGTTCTGAGCCTCCCCTTATCCCTGCTAACAATTTTTGAAAGTACTGGCCAAAGCCCTGTCCCACAGAAAGAGATGTGGCAGGAAGGCAGTAGGTGGCAGGGATTCAGATTCAACCAACATTTTTTTCCCTATGGGTTCTTTTAAGTTATATTTGACAATAGAATTTATTTTGACATAATTATAAAAGCATGGAATATAATTTGTTCCCGTTCAGCTCCCAGTACTTCTTTCTCCTTCCCCTCCCCTCCCCTCTCTTCACCTCTCTGTTCCCTTCCCTCTACTGATCTTTCTGCTATTTACTTAGTTTTTTTTTTAATGTCTTGTGGATGTACATGAGGGTGAGATTCACTGTGGAATATTCATATATGTACATAGGAAAATTAGGTCAAATTCATTCCACCATCTTTCCATATCCCATCCCTCCTCCCTTCCCTTTGTTCCCCTTTGTCTACTCCATTGATCTTTGTTTTATTCTTCTTTAACCCCTCCATCTAATTTTGGATGAGCTTTGCATATTAGGAAAAACATTCAAACTTTGACTGTTGGGGATGGGACTGTCTTATTTTATTTAGCATGATAGTTTCCAGATTCATCCATTTACCAGAAAATGTCATAATTTCATTCTTATTTTTGGCTGAGTAGTACTCCATTGTGTACAGACACCAAATTTTATTTATCCGTTCATCTGTTGAAGGGCTCCAAGTTTAGTTCCATAGCTTGGCTATTGTGAATTTTTTTGAACTACTACAAAAATTGATGTGGCTGCATCACTGTAGTATACCAATTTTAAGTCCTTTGGATATATTCCAAGGAATGGGATAGCTGAGTGGTATCCTAGGTTTTTTTGTTTTGTTTTGTTTTGTTTTGTTGAGACATCTCCAAACTGATTTCTAGTGTGGTTGCACCAGTTTGCAGTCCCACTAAAAATATATGAGTGTACCCTTTTCCCTTTATGCTCACCAACATTTATTGTTACTTGTATTCTTGAAAATTGCCATTCTTACTGGAGTGAGATAAAATATCAGCGTTGTTTTAATTTGCATTTCTCTGATTAATAGAGATGTTGAACATTTTACACGTGTTTGTTGACTGTTTGCATTTCTTCTTCTGTGAAGTGCCCATTCACTTCCTTTGCCCATTTATTAAATGAGTTATTTGTTTTTGGGTTTTGGTTTCTGGTGGTAAGTGTTTTGAGTTCTTTATACATCCTGGATATTAATGCCCTATCTGAAGAGCATGTGGCAAAGATTTTCACCTATTCTGTAGGCTCTTTCTTCCTGCTCACAAATTGTTTCCTTTGCTGTGAAACAGCTTTTTAATTTGATGCCATCCCATTTATTGATTTTTTTTATTTGACTTCTTGCACTTTAGGAGTCTTGATAAGGGAGTCAGTTCCAAAACCAACATGTTGGACCCCAACCAACATTTTGATTTCTCCTGTAGAATGTGAGCCCAAGAAGACAGGGACCACATCTATCTATTCACTCTGCATCCCCAGCACCTAGTCCAGTAGGTACCTGGTATACAGGAGTGCTCAATATTTTTGTAGAATGTATATTTTTGTAGAAGGTGCACAATGCAACAAATACTTTAAGACATTAAAAGCCCAATGTTAAATAAAATGTCAGCAATAAGCAAGGCATCAAGCCCAGGTCTGCTGGCTTTTGAGGTCCACTACACCTATCCAACCAGAATGGTATCTCTCTTCTCTAAGCCACCTTGCTCTGCCTTTGCTCTTCCCTCAGTCAAGCACATCTTTCCAGCAATAAGTCTGGACCCACAGTGTCTGTGGTGGTCTAGAGCATCTCTTCCCACTTTCAATCAAATGTCTGTTTTGCTGTCTCTCTGTTGACCTTGCCTCAGAGACCTTCCCTTTCTAATCTTACTGTCTGAAGTCACACTGGAGGATTCTCAATATATCTCAGAGACTTTTCTTTGAGTGAACTATAATTGGGATATTAGAAACCAAGACTTTCCCAAAGCCACTGCCTATCAGTACTGATCTCCATGGCCCAGTGGTTCATGGCTCCTGGGATGTCCATGGTCTGGGTGGATGCCTGTCCAGTCTGAGACTGGCTCAACATACTAGCATTAGTTGTAAACTGGTATCAAAATCAGTTTATCCTTCCTCCCTCCAACCCACCCATTTGAGCTCCTAGACACCCATGGCCTAAGAGTTCCAGAGAACGGTGAGGACAGTGCCTTTTTGAGGGACCCTCCACCCTTACTTCCCCAAATCCAGTGCTTCACTGTTCAGGCTGTCTCCCCAGCCCCCAGATCTGGTCATCTCTGGACTTCTGCTGTCTCTACTTGCCCCAGATCCATTTTTTTCTGGCAAAAGCAGCTGTAAAGCTAGCAATGTCCTGAACAGAAGGCAAACTCATCTCTTTGCAGGCCCTTCTCACCCATTTGTAGATGTAACTTTTGCAAAGCCTTGGATCTTATGTATTGGCCTTGGGACAGTGTCATATTTAAGAAGCATAGGACAGGGGAGGGGAAGGGGGATAGTAGAGGATAGGAAAGGCAGCAGAATACAACAGACACTAATATGGCAATATGTAAATCAATGGATGTGTAACTGATGTGATTCTGCAATCTGTGTACGGGGTAAAAATGGGAGTTCATAACCCACTTGAATCAAAGTGTGAAATATGATATATCAAGAACTATGTAATGTTTTGAACAACCAACAATAAAAATTTAAAAAAAGAAGTATAGGACAATAGCCAACATGTAATTTAAAAGGAATTCCATTCTTTATTCATCTGTCATGTAAATCATTACAGAGAATAAAATTAAATTGGAATGCTTAAATATTTACTACATACTAAACATAGAAAATTCCCATTCTCTTCCCTCTCTCCTTTACTCATATTTGCTCTGATGAGATTGTCCTTATCCTCTTGAAGAAAATTCCTACACCCCTTACCTCCATGACTTCCCTTTGTTTATCAGCCCTGTTATTCTCCTCCCTCAGGATTTTATTTTACAGCCTGAATTAGCTTCTTTCCCAGCAATAAGGAAAGTTTCTTTTTTGGAGGGGGCAAGAAGGATTCTGCCATGAAGATTTCTCTTTTAAGAGATGAGCGAGAGAAAGAAGCAAATACCCACACAGAAATAAATAACCCACCATCACTTAGACAATTTTCAGAATAGGCATAGCCTCATTATTTTCTTGTTAGTCACTCCTAGCAACACATTTTCAACTGATCTTTGTGGTGTTTAAAGGCCCACATCAACAATTACCACTCAGCTTGGTGACAGCCAACAAGCTGGTGAAAAAAAAAAAAAAAAAAAAAACAAAAAACGGTAACTCCTTGCATGGGACCAGCTAGCTCAGAAACAGGACTGTGATTACTTGGACCTAGTAGACTTTTTCTGGAAGAGCACAGAAGCTTTACCTCTTGGCTCTGTCTTGAGTGCAAGAGTCTGTTCATCTGTTCAACCAAGGAAACCACCAAGAATTTCTGTGAATCCATTATTAGTCCGGCTCTTAGCTAGATACCGAAGACCAAGATGAATAAACTTCAGTCCTCATCTCCAAGAGCTCATCTCCAGTTGGAAAAAGAATGGTCTGATCACATCAGCCACAGCAAAATTAAGTGGAATTATAGTAGACCTAGTAGCTAGCGACTATGAGGCCACTGGGAGAGAGAAGTAGCCTTGACTTGCAGTAGGGTCACCTGAAGAAGACTTCCCAGAGGAGTTGTCATTGGATCTGAATCAAAAAAGGAAAAGTAAAAGTGTTCAGGCAAAGAATGGAGTACAGGCATTTCAGTAAGAAGCAAAGAATAGGCAATGCCATAGTTACTTGAAAGAGGGTGATCTGCTGGGGGAAGAATGGAAGTTTAGAACAGCTAGAGGGTATGTGGAATGGAGCAGGAAGAGAGGACACTGGAGCAAGGAAACCTGAGCTAATGGTTTGAAAGGTATTCTTTCTTTGTCCTAAATTTATGCATTAATTTTTTTATGTATGCATAATTAAATCACATTTTCAAAAGAAAAGCAAAATTATTATATGCCCCTTGATCTTTTTTTTTTTTTTTTTTTTTTTTTAGTTAGTGACATATTTTTTACATGCCAGTTTATACAGAACTGTTTTGCTATTTTAACAGACAAGGAGGAACCAGTAAAGGATTCTTAATTTGGGGAATGATTGGATTGGATCTATGTCATAGGGAATCTAGATGGAGTGAAGGGGACCTGGGCAAAGTCCACTCATGGAGGGTGATAATGAGAACACCATTGAAAAGCCTACAAGGATGAGTTTTGAGAAAGATTTCTGAGGCCAAATCAGCAGGATTGGGACAGGCTGTGAGAATGGCTTGGTGAAGGTTCATTCTGTTAAATGTAATAGAAGCTACTCACAGTAACTTCAGAAGAAATGTTTTGAAGGATGTTATTCAAGGGCAGGAACTACAACTGAGCCTGAGGATAGTCTGGGACTCCAAATTAGAAAGCTCTCAGGAATCAAGTCACTGTCTGCTCATTCGAGGACTGGGGTCTCTCAGCCCAACTTCTCACTGAAGGTCCACTTCACGGATCTCTGTGTGTTTGCTTCTCTCTGCATTTGTGCCTCTCCCAGCTACAATAGGAGGCTCTGCAGAACAAGCTAGAACTTAGTTCAGTCTAACCTAGAATAACTAAAGTCAGAATCTGGGGTGTAGGCGTGGCCATCCCATAAGTGAGTGAGTGTGTGTGTGTGTGTGTGTGTGTGTGTGAGATGTGGTGTGGAGCAGGGCCTGTTTTCAGAATTCCTTAGGCAGTTTCAACATAGAGTAAGGGTGAAAACCTCTGGTTTGGAACGATCAATGTCTCTAAGGCACCAATTCCAAATTCCCGGAAGAGCCGATGTGCTGGGTGCAGCCTGGGTCAGGTGTTCACTCTGGTTCAGTTGACAGTGGCCCTGGAGGCAGGGGCTGGACAGAATAAATGTGGTGACAGTTAAGACTGTTCAGCCTCTTCACCAGGAAGTGGAGGGGGGAAGGAGGGGCCCTGAGAGCATCATAATTTTGTAGCTCCACTCTGCACAGGCAAATCAGGTTTCATGTTTACCCGCTGCTCCTGGCCCTGGGGACAAATCTTAGGCCTGAATGGAAAATGAGTACTTTATGTCACTGGCGTGGATCCCATTTACTCCCATCCTTGTCTGAAAGGACAAAGGGAGTGACTTAGTCCCTGAGCTTTAATCACCAGACCGGCTCTGGTTTGGCCTCCGCCCTCTATTGGGAGCGTACACTGCCCGACTATGCTCATCTCGGGCCATTTAAGCAAATCCAGATGGCAAAATCGTGTCTCCTGGATTGTGGAAGCAAACAGCTGTTAAATGATATTTCGATGGACTGGCTTCTTATTTGTCATCAGAATGAGCAATTGCCAGTGGACTGTGGCTTCATATTTCCATCCAGATTTGGGGGAGGCAGGGAGGAGGGAAAGAGCTGACCAGAGGACACTAGAGAAGCTGGCTATTTGTTTCTGTCTTCCTCCATATTTACCCCACCAGTTGTTAGGCAGCTCCTCCCACTCACTTAAGATTATCTCCCTAAATGGAGAATTCTTCACACCAGCTGCAAAGAGAGGAAAAGGAACCTTGGCTACATTTAGGGAACTTCGCCTAACCTCAAGAGATCTTTTCTCAGCTCCTCCAACTCAAAGTCAGGCTTCTCCGGGGGTGTGGGTCTTAACTGTCCAAACTCGAGGACGGCCTGGTGGGTGGGTTGAGAACTAGACACCCTTTATTATTCTGCTCTGCCAAGTCTTATCTTCCCTGTCATCATCCCAGTCTGGACCACAGTTCCAAAAATGATTCTATATACTTTGCCCACTTGGTAATTTATGGATGAGTTTTTGAGTAAATATTTTTCAGTTTTGTTTTCATTTCACTAGAAAAGCTAAGGAGATTATATCTTTATGCCAAGACAGAGGATTTGAGACTCAAGACCTTAAATCAAGAACCAGATCTGTCAATTACTAGTTTTGTAACCTTAGGCAAATGACTTTGGTTTCCTCCCCCAGTTTTCTTCCCATTCTCCCATGACTGTTTATACCTACTTCTATTAGTATATGTATCACATGTGGGTGTCCAACAGGAGATTTTGAACTTCTTAAGACTAAACTTCTGTCTGTCTGGTGATAAGCACAGTGCCTAGACACATAGCAGATGTCCCAAAATATTAAAGTTTATCATCTTACAATCTATGAAATTGGGACAATGATATCAAATTGTAAATACTGAATAAGACAATTCATGTGACTTATAAACTATAAAGGATAATAAATACATATGCTTAAAAGCTGTAATAATGCCTTTGCAAAGTTTTGTATAGTTTTTAGAACATTTGGTTCTATTAAATTATGCTCATTTCATACTTGAAAAGTTTGGGAGGGCTGGGGATGTAACTCAATGGTAGAGTGCTTGCCTTGCCTAGCAAATGTGAGGCCCTGGGTTCAATCCCCAGCATCACCAAAAAGAAAAAAAAAAAAAAAGAAAGAAAGAAAAGTTAAGTTTAAGTTAAGGAGTTGTAGGGGATACTAAGACTTCTCATTTGCAAGATTTTTAAAAATCATATGACTTACACTTTTTAGCAAAAGACTCTGTTCTCACCTGGGTTGTTTTCTTCATTCAACAAAGTCACATTGCTTAATGGTAGATATACTTGGTTAAAGGATGAAAGCTATAAACCAGAATTTCTCAACCTCCACACTACCAACATTTTGGGCCAGTGATTCCTTGTTTGGGGGGTGGACAGCTGTCCTTTACATTGCAGGATGTTTAGCAGAGTCTCTTGCCCTCTGCCCACTAGATGCCAATAGCACACTCCTCCCAGTTGTAACAGCCAAAAACGTCTCCAGACTTGGGCAGATGTGGGGAGGGGGCGCATCAAGTCTCCCTTCCTTCCCTGTTGAGTAAGTAAGTCTTGACTTACACTTTTTCCTCTGTATCTTTATCATGAACATTCTCAATAGATATCTATCTCCTCAAACATTTATCATTTCTTTATGATAAAAACACCCCAAATTCTTTCTTCTAGATTTTTGAAATATACAGTAGTACATAATTATTACCTATAGTTGTACTATTTTACACAATAACACCAGAATTTATTATTCTTATATAACTGAAACTTAATATCCATTGACCAACCTTTCCATCCTCTCTCCCCCAGACTCTCTTCAATCTCTGGTAACCACTATTCTATTCTCAATTTCATTTTTTTTCTTTATTTTTTTTTATTTGTCAGCCTTTATTATCCAAAAGGAAAGTCAAGCCCTAGAGTTTGCTTTTAAAAAAACCCAACCTTGTTTATGAAAAACAATGTTTTAACTCTTTATGACTTTTAATTATCTATTCAATGCCATGGAGCAAGTATTGATTGCTTTTTAATCACTATTTTTCCAACCACTCTCAATTTCTGTGAGATCAATTTTTTTTAGATTTCATATATGAGTGAGATCATGTGGTATTTGTCCTTCTGTGCCTGACTTATTTCACTTAACAATGACCTCCAGTTTCATCTATGTGTTGAAAATGACATGATTTCATCCTTTTAATGACAAAACAGTGTTCAGTGGTATGTATTACCACATTTTCTTTATCCATTTATCACTTGATGGACACTTTGGCTGTTTCCCTTTCTTGGATATTGTGAACAGTGCTACAAAGAACACAGGAGTGCATATGTCTCTGACATACTGGTTCCATTTTGTTTGGATCTACCCAGGAATGGGATTGCTGGGTCAAATGGTAGTTCTATTTTCATTTTTTTAAGAACCCCCATACTATTTTTATAATAGATGTACTAATTTACATTCCTCCCATTAGTATTCAAGAGTTCTCTTTTCTCCACATCCTCACCAGCACTTGTTTTTAGTCTTTTTGATGATACCCGTTATTACTAGTCGAAGTGATATCTCATTGTGGCTTTGTTTTGCATTTCCACAATTAATGATGTTGAGCATTTTTCATGTATCTATTGGCCATTAGTGTGTCTTCTTTTGAGAAACATCCATTTAAATCTATTGCCCAAGTTTAAACCAAGTTATTTTTATATTGAGTTTTAGGGTTCTATGGAGATATAGACATAGATATTCTGGTTACTGGACCTTGCCAGATATGTGGTTTGCAAATATTTTCCCTCATTCTATAAGCTGTCTCTTCACTTTGATGATTGTTTGCTTCGCAGAAGCTTTTCAGTTTGATGTAATCCCATTTGTCTATTTTTGCTTCTGTTTTCTGTGCTTTGGGATCTTATCCTAAAAAAAATTTTGCCCATTCCAATGTCCTGAAGTATTTCCCCGTTTCCTTCTAGTAGTTTCATATATTATAGTTAAGTATTTAATTCCCTTTAACCAGTTTTTATTTTTGAGGTGAAGGACTTGCTATATTTCCTAGGCTGGCCTTGAACCTTCCACCTCTGCCCGCCATGTAGCTAGGATTACAGGCTTGGCCAGCTACTTATAAAGTTGGTATTCTGAAGGCAAACTGACATCTGAGAAGACAAGGGAGTAGTTAATTGGAACCCATCTGAAGAAGAAATTGGTATGGGTTGTGTAATGTGTCCACTGTGTTTCAAAACAGATCTCTTCACACTTACAACCACCATCAGCATGGCCACTTTGAGCTCCTTTCTTTCTGTAGGATCTTATTTAAACCTCAAGGCAATCCTGATGAGGTTTTATTGGAGATAAGTATAATTATCTCCATCTTACTCATGAGGACATTGAAACTCAGGGATGTGTGAACTTGGTGAAGGGCACATAATTGTTAAGTGTCAAACTTGAGATTCAGTCCAAAGCTCAACAAAGTGAATTGCAAGATTCCAGAAATTTCTGTGGAACTCTGAAACAGAATAAAGAGCTTCTTGTCTAATTCCTATAACTATTTCACTGTGAAAAGAAGTCCTAAAAAAAAATCTCATATAGAAGACTAGGAATCATATAATCAGGATGTTAATCCCTACATTACTACTTTGTAGCCAAGTGATCAGGGCAGCTGACTTGCCACAGAGCTCAATTTTCTCATTTAAAATGGAGATCATAGGGCTATCATGGTGGTGTGTAAACTGTTACACTCTACAAAAATGTAGTTTTACCACAGACATTTCCCAGGAGTTTTGTCATAAAATCTCAAGAAGCACATGGCTACCCTACTCAAGTCAAGTTGGACTACCATCGCTGAGGCTGTCCAAGGTGTTCTCTTTCCCATAACATCAGCAATGATGGGGGAGAATGAGCATGTCAGGCTGTGGGGGCCACTCCTCTAATATGTTGCTGCATTTGAAACACAAACAGGGCCTCTTCTGAGTAACCACGAGGAGAGGACGAACAGACTCAAGGGCACGTCTCCAAGTGGCTGGCGTGCACCCAGAGACTATGGAAAATTGTGGTTTGCCTCAGACTCTGGCAGAAGGGAAAAGTCCCAGCTCCCAATTTAGTGGCTTCCACAAAAGTAAACCAAAGTGAGTCATGTGAGGATGGAGAAACCACCAGATACAGTCTTCCATGTGGGGATCACGATAAAGATGAAAACTAGAGATGGGAGAACTCTAAGAACCTGGGCAGCTGGTGATGCTTCTTAGTGAGTCAGCGTGTGAGACGTGCACAGGGAGAAGGCACGAGGACGTACAGGTTCTCGCTCACATGGGAAGTGGAAAAGCCCTGTGTGTCTTCTGCCTCTTCATTGGTTGCTTTGCCAGCCACAGTTGAACTTATATGGTGTTACTATAGGAGAGTGACCTGGTGCTTTTTAAAACACAGAATTGCCTGTTAAAGTTCAATTTTCAGAGGGGAAAAAAAGGGGAATCATAAACTGAAATCAATTTCCATGCATGTATGAGATTGTCAGGATGAACCCAACTACTATGGTAAACCATAAAGCACTAATAAGAATAAATAAATAAAATAAAGTTCAGTTTTCACTTTTGCAGAGTAGAAGAGGACCTGTTTTCTTTGCCAATGCAAACACTTTGCAGTGCTATTATTTCCATTTTTTAAAAAATTAATATCTACTTGTGATGAAAATCCAATTCAAGTAGTGGAGAACATTAAGAAAACTCTCCTCCTTCCACTCCTCCTCTCTCCATCCACTCCCTATTATAACTGATTTTTGCCAGTTCTGGGTAATGTTCTTCTGGTGGTTGCCAGAAAATATTAATAACATGGTTATGTCTCTAATCTTTTATTTATGAACTTGCAACAGTATTTACTGCCTCCTGCTACATGAGGGTTTGTGCTCCCTCATCCTCTCACCCTCTGTCTCTTCTCACACTTTAGTCTGTATTCTCCTTGGTTCCCTACTGGAATGAGAAACTCCCCATCTACTCCTCCCTCCTTTCCTCCCATTTCCTTCACCTCCTGATTTCCGTCATCACTATCATTCCCTTTTATATTTAATGGATTTTTAATAACTATATTCTGTTTGTAAACCAAAGTTGTCTTCTCTGCTTTTGTCCAAAGATTGATTAAAATGTTGATAACTCACAGGGAGTTTTATAACTCTGTAGATATTTAAATCATTTACTGAGGAATCTGGTAAGAAAGCAGAGAATCCTAGGCCACTCCAAAGAAAATGTTTAAAAGGAAAAATTAAATAAATTGTCTTTCCTTACTCTAATCAGTTCCTCAAAACTATGCCTTAATTTAGATCGCTTCTCATTTAGATTAGGATTTTTATCTGCTTCTTGATTTTTCTGAGGTTTCTACTTGCTTTTGATATTTTTTAGCTAGTTGACATTAGAAACATATATCCTCTTTATCATATCATGAAGATCAACCAATTTCTGAAGCATACAACTTTCTAAATTTTGCATTACTGTCTTCTGGGTATGTACCACAACTATCACAATGCCTTTTTAATTTTAATTACATCCTTAAGGGATTTCTAATGTTTCTTAGATCCTTTGACTTTCTCTTTCTTGTATTTATCTTTCATTTTACTGGAGTGTCAGGATGAACATGTTGAACTTTGAGGCAAAAAAAAATATACAGATACATACTTGTATATGTATGTATATACCCAAAGAGAGATATATGCTTTAAATTACATTTCTATAATTTTTAGTGCCCAAAGAGAGATATATGCTTTAAATTACCTTTCTATAATTTTTAGCAACCTCAGTATTTCACATTTTTTTGGCCATCTATATTTCTTCTTCTGGGAACACTGTTTATACAATGATGGTTCTAAATGTCACTCAGCCCAGCAGATGTCTGACTTAAGCTCCTTGCACATACAATTTTAAGTTGCAAAGATGTAACATTTGTGAAACCTTACTCATTGTATTAGTATTTGTAATTCTTTAAGAATCATAAATAAAATTTGAACTGTCAGTTTAGAAAGCTTAGTGTTCTCCTTCCTCTAACTTTTCCTCCAGCACTTCCTTCCTGACTTTCTTAAGAAACTAAGGGAAGAGGAAAGAATGTACCACACCATGTGTATAGACAGCTTTTTGCCACTGGGAACAAAATGCTTGACAAGAACTTAGAAGAGGAAAAGTTTATTTTGGTTCATAGTTTTAGAGGTTTAGTCCATGGTTGGCCAATTCCATTGATCTGGGCTCCAGGGGAGGCAGAATATCATGGCAGAAAGAGGCAATAGAGGCAAAGCTGCTCAGCTCATGGCAGCCAGGAAACAGAAATAGAGAGAGGAGACAAGCCACTAAAATATAAATGTCAAGAGCATGCCCTCAGTGGCCTACTTCCTCCAGCCACACCCCACTTCCCCACAGTTATCACCTAGTACAGTAGTTCTTTCAAATTATTAATCCACCAAATGGATTAATCCACTGATTATGTTACAGCTCTCATAATCTTAATTTCACCTCTGAACATTGCTACATTATCTATCACAGGAGCTTATTGGGGGACACCTTATATCCAAACCATCACACTATGGTATCCTTTCCTTCAGTCAAATTTCCATCTTGCCTCTTTCCTGAATTCTGACTCCCACTTCTACTTGCCCATAAAAGTCTTCTAGGACCTGCCAGGATGGCACCCCTGCCCAGGTTCCATTCAACAACAGGACATATATGTGAGGTGGAGGGCCCCGTATGGGGCACAATTGCATGCAATTGATGGTCATGGTGACAGGCCTCAATGCCCAGGGTTAACGAACTAGGAGCCCCAATTTGGTTCATATAAATTGAACTCTCCCTACCTTTTGAATGCAAATGCATGCTCAGAGTACCTTATTTTAATAATGTAAGCAGTACTATTTGTGAGAAAAAAAACTCTTCAATTGGAAAAATCAAACCCTTTCTGAATATTAACCTTTGTGAAAAGAAAGTCATGATAATACTGAGAAACCTCAAAGTCATGTGTGTGCATGTGTGTGCACATGCCTATTTAAATTTTAAGAAATTTTAATATACTAATGTGGTAAACTGAAGAGCTGGGAAATTCAGTGCCTACAGCCTCCCTTTCAGCCTGGTTGGAGCTACCAGGGACATGAGTCTATTTGTGGCAGAGAGCTTGTGCTACAGAAGCTGGAGAATGATTTCTCTTCCACTTGCCTCATGGATGTACAATTTCTGGAGGGAGAAAGAGGAATAGGAAGGAGTAAAAGTGATCTTTAATGAAAGATGAGGGATGTTTTCTCTCAAATCTTCTGAGAAGTTCTCAACTTTAATCTTATACCATATTGTCATGGAAAGAAATGCTACTTAAAGCTGGGCATGGTGGTGCATGCCTGTAATCCCAGAGGCTTGGGCGGCTGAGGCAGGAGGATCCTGAGTTCAAAACCAGCCTCAGCAAATTAGTGAGGCCCTAAGCAACTCAGCAAGAACCTGTCTCTAAATAAATCATTTTTTAAAAAGGGCTGGGGATGTGGCTCAGTGGTTACGTGTCCCTGGGTTCAATCCCAGTACTAAAAAAGGCATCTCGAAGAAAGGGACCCAAACAACAAAATCCCAATGAAACCATACAACCTCCAAAGGCAAAGGCCATTTCACATAGTACATATTTGTATTTGTTGGCTAGCCCAGCATAACAGAATGTCACAAATAAGAGACATTTGTTTACTCACGATTCTGGAGGCTGGAAGTCCAAGGCCATTGGATGTGGTTTTTTGTGAGTACTCTTCTTAGTTTGCAGACAGCTTTGGTGGCCTCACATGGTCTTTTCTCTCTGCACCCAGGGGGAGAGAGAAATCTCTGGTGTCTATTCCTTTTCTTGTAAGGACACCAGTTCTATTGGATTAGGTCCCCACCCTCATAGCCTCATTTAGACTTTAACTACCTTCTTAAAGGTCCTATTTACAAATTTAGTCATATTGGGGGTCAGAGCTTCAATATAAGAATTTGGGGTGACAAAATTCAGGCTACAAGAGTATCTAATAAGCAGCTACAATTAATTAATTAATGCTCTAACTGCTTTCCCGGACATATGAGTTCCTGATTTTAATACTACCCTATTTCTTATTCATATTCTTCTTATTCTTCCTTAAGGTTGATGTCATTGCTAATATGATTACACTACCAAGGTCATCAAGGTTACAGATTTTACAATGTTCCTTTGAGGTGGCAGGAACTTGTTCATTCATCACTCAACAAACATCCACACGTTCATGACAAGCCCCCCATCCACACTCTGCCCCCTCATTAGGGCCTGTTTTACCTCTCTATTTCTGTCTCTGTCACTATTCACTCTTGTTTGACTGTTTGTGCTCCTGTTTAGTCAGGGTGCTCTAAAGGAACAGAATACATAGTAAGTATAATTATAAAAGGGGGACTCACTAGGTTGGCTTATGTGACCAGAAGCTGGATAGTCCACAATGGCCATCTGCAGCCTGAAGAGCTGGAAGAACCAGTAGCTGCACAGTGCAAGAGGCCCCAGAACAAGAGGGATCAACAGTGCTACCCCTAGTACAAGCGGAAGGCTACTGGAGAATTACTGGCAGGGTCTGCTTTGGAAGAGTGAAGAAGCTGTTAAACCACGATGCAAAGAAAAGAGCACCTACTCCAATTTTAAATCAAATTAAAGCAAGCTTATAATTCCAACTAGCTGGGACCGTCCCTCTCCCAAAATTCGTGGGATAGAAGACAGTATTCCAGCTCTCTAGGAGCACAGATTTATAGCACAGAAAGTTGCAAAAAAGGAGGGGGGTGTCTTAAGAACTTTCAGATAACAGAATTTTGACAAGCATAATACAAAAGCAGGTAGTAGGTTAATGATCTAAATGGTTCAGCACTTAGGAAGTAAATTTAGATCCCAACATCAGAATTTATGAGGCACCACTAAGGTTTCAGAGAGGGTTGCTATCTGGTCAGGGAAAACCAGGCATGGGTGAGTTCAAGGCACAGGCAGCCATTCCAAGCAAGTTTAAAACATCAAAATACAGCTAGGCCAAATAAAAATCCTAATATTTTACATAAAACAGAAATGAATCTTTTAAAACTTTTGACAAGATGGTTCCTGATCTTCAGAGGAAATTAGGCTGGGTTATTAGGCGAGAGTCCAATATCCTCAGATGATCGCAGCAGCAATAAAGAACCTGGTCAAGAAGAATTGAGCTTGCATTCACTGCTGTTTTCTTGTTCTTCCAACTTTTATTCCATCCAAGCCATCATCCTATTGGATGGTTCTGCCCATGCTTAGGGAGGGTTCTCCATTTCAATTGGCTATCCCACACGCCAATCATTCCTAGACACACCTTCACTGACACACCTATAAGCCTCTTAATTACTGACATCTCTTAATCCAATCAAGTTAACAATTAAAATTAACTATTAAGCCAAATAAAATTCTCTCTCTTGCTTTCTCTTCAGCAAGAAGAATATGGACATTCCAGGGCTCTGGAAAAATGTCATCAAAACTTATTCTATGTCTTTAATGAATATTGTGAACTTATTGTTCTAAAAGTCTGCATGTTCCATCTGATGAAAATAAAAATAAGGAAGCTCTGACTTCAAGTTATAAATGTGTTGCTCATGGCAGGAGTGGCGGATTGGATGATTGTGTCACATGAACAAACCAGAATTATATAGAAATGGTCCTCCTGGAGCACCTGGGGCCTGGAGTGACTTCTTAAGATGCTCATTTCCTTTCCTGAGTAGTCTTAGGTCACATGTGTGGTCTTTAGAGCTGTCCCCATTATCTTCTGACTTCCTAGGACATCACAGCTCAACACCTCTTTTGTTTCACTCTCCAGTGGTCCCAGCATGCTCATTTCCTCTCTAAGTCCATTGACTTTCCAAAATATCCGTAACACATTTATAGTTTGCAAAGTATATTCTCTTGTCATCCTTTAATTCTCACAAGTACTTTTTGCAGTGACAGGGACTCAGCCACCCATGTACTCAACATGAACTATTTGGGGACTAGGTGACATGCCAAGTTCAGAGATGACTAGGGCATGCTGCCCATCAACTCAAAGATCACTAGGGACCCAGTGTGGAGGCCATCATGAGCACAACATGTTAGGTGCCATGGAAGGAGGGCATCATGGGGTAAGAGCACAGAAGAAGCTCATTCTAGCTCCAGAGGACCAGGAAGGTTTCCAAAGGAAAAGTATGGATCTTGGCCTTGATGGGAGAGTTGGAGCTGGGCAGGAAAAAGGGGGTTGAGGTAGTGTCACACAAAGGGTCAGGACCTTCAAATTATAGGAGAAAAAGTCAGCCCATTTGTGGTATTAAGTTGTTGTGTGTAGCTGCAGATAGAGTGTAAAGTACAGAAGTGAGGTGGGCAGAAGAGGAATGAAGAGAACAACCATCTGGGGCCCAGATCACAGGTGAGTATGTTTCTGGACCTAGTTAAGACTTTGGACTTTCACTCTAAGGCAAATAAGTCACTGAGGGTTATAAGAGAGGTGGATGGGTAAGACTTGGAGTTTAGAAAGTAATCAGGCCATGTGGACACTGGGCTGAGGCAATGGGGCTGGGAGACAAGAAGCTACTGACATGGTCCAGGAAAGAGAGGACGGGATTTCAAAGTGGGGCAGAGACAATGGGAATGCGCAGCAGGGGTGGGTTCAAGAGATATTTGGGAGATTATAAAGGACTTGTGACTGAATGAATGTGACAGGGGAAGCTTGAGCAAATGTCCACATTTCTGTTGGGCTCAGGCATGAATGACGAAGCCATTCACCTAAATGGGGCCAGGTGGGAAAAAGAATGAACACTGCACATGCTGAGCTCTAAGGACCTGCAAATCCCAAATAGATGTTCAGAGAAGTTTTGTCTCAGGGTCCAGGAGCTCAGAGAAGAGGTCTGTTTTGCCAGTATAGATTTGGAAGACACTATGGTGTGGGCAGTAGTTGATGTCATAGAAGTATGTGAAGTCACATGCTTCCCAGGGAGAGGTTCAGAAACCTGATGTCATTTGACAGATAGAAAAACTGAAGATCAGGATGGTCCAAGATCTCACAGCTGGTACATGACAGAACTGGGCTGAAGCCAGGTCTTATGGCTCTTTATGTACAGGAAGCTGCTCTTAAGCAGCAGCCATTCATCATATTGCTCCTGGAAGGCTGAGGAGTAGATCAAGTACCCGCCCCGGGCTTTACAGGGAATAAGGCAGAAGGTGCAACACTTGCAGCATGTTCACCTCTCACTTTATCCTTAACTGCTGCCCTTCCAGGGCCTCTCACTGTTCAGCCTCCTTCCCCGTCTCTGCTCCACACTTGGGCCTTTGCTTACCTCCTCTGATCATCAAAATTTACCTGTCTTAGTCCCATCTATCTCCACTCTAGAACTGAAGTTTCCTCCCGGGCCACATGATAAAGCAATTTCTGCTAAAATGGGTATCAAGAGCTTAATGAGAAATCCACCCCCACTGTACCTCTGCCATTCAGCCAGTACTCCTGGAGAGGTGTAAGTACCATTGCTAAAAGCAAGAACTTCAAACAACTTGGAAGACTGCTGTTAAGGAACAGATAGAACATAAGCAGAAGAGACAGTGGGGGACCAAATCACCATGGGCACATTTCCTATCACAGTAAGGTGGCTGGACTTATGTCCATTCAACATGGTGAGGCAGGACACGTCTCGTTTCCAAGACCCTCCTTTGCATGACAGCTAACATTCTATTTTACCATATGGCAGAAAGAACAGGTGTGTCCTTGATCCCAAGTGCATGAAGGGTGCACACACACACCCCACAAGTATGTTTCACCTACTGCTCTGCAATTTGACAGGAGCACAGACAGGGTGGTTTTTAAATCAAGGCCCTAGGTCCCAAATCTTCCTTCTCAAGTATTCCAAGTGACTTCGTTGGTAGAAACGGTGTTCAGCTAGGTTAGAACCCTGCTCAGAAACACTAAGGGGTGAGTTGAAAAGGAGCACTTTGGGTAGGAGAAGATTATTTCTCCCTTGGCTAACAATGATAGTCTCTTTTCAAATTAATGAAAAGAGGGAACAAAATCTAAAAGGTCTTTTAAAGGAAGTACAAACTTGGAAAGATGAAGGAACACTTATAAAACAGCATGTCTTGCTGTCTGTTTCCTGTCTTGCCAGACATAAGCCACAGTGACCCCACGTCACTGAAAACAGCAGCTGCTGAGGATGGGTTTGGGAAGGAGTCAGGGTGTCCAGCAGGCACAGGGGTAGTTTATCTCATGGCTTAAGATATTAGAGGAGGCCCAGGGCATGCTCCTGCCTACCTGGGTGATTGTTAGGTGGTCCAGCTCTGTTGTGACTCTGGGGATGGCTGATGGTCCTCAGGTGGTGCAGGTGGTGGCCACTGAGACCAGTTCACCTCCCAGCTGCAGACCAGAAATGCCAGAGCACTGGGAATTGAGGTTAGTGGAGTTCATAAAAGCAATGTTCTCTGGCTGGAATGGAATTGTAGATCTGTCCAGTCTCGCTCCTTCTAGTCAGTGATGAATTCCTCGGCAACATTCTTGCCAAGTAGGCATTAAGCCAGAGCCTGACAGCCCTTGTGACAGGAAACTCACCCTGCAAAGAGACCCATTTTGTCCTTGGATCATACTGACTGGAGGGAAGGTCTTACTGAATCCAAATGCCTCTGTTACTCCAACTACCTGGTGGGAGATGCTCCTCTACAGTCTCATGGGATGTTTCTGCCTGTTCCAAGTGGCAGATGTTTGTCTGAACTCCTAGGTCTGCCAGAATGCAGGCAAGACCAGCTCCTTTGTACCTCCAAACACAGATGACAGGGGCATTTTGAACAGAATGTTCAAAGCTAGGAAGAGCTGCTTTTTTCACCTCTGAAACCTCAGCATCTGCCTAGAAACTGGCACTAAAGGTACACAATTAATATCTCCTTTGGCAATGTCATTCTAACCACACCCTTAACTTGGTGCACTCAGCCTAGCATAGGAACCAAATTTTGTGCTGAGCTTTTGCAAAGGGTCTCTACTCAAAGAGATATATCAACTCCTTTATCATAGGAATTATGGAAAATTCCTCCAAGAAGATCCCCAGAAAATTGTTTTGGTTTATTGTGTAACTTCCAAAGTGCCAGGAAAGTACTAAGATGATGAATACTAAAAACATTCCACACCTAGTCCATATTGGTACCCCAAGTATTTGTTGAATGAATGAATGGCAGAGGGAAAGGCTCTATTTTATATATGCTATATAAATATATGTAAGTTTATGTTATATAACTATATATTTTAAATATATGTATGTATATTTAATCTGTATAAACCTTTCTTGTTTTTAAAAGTACAGAAGCCAGATTACCCAAACTTCAGTTCTTACAAACATAAGCATTCATACATGCATACACATAGCTTTCTTAACATCAAATAGCTCTGGAGTGCTTTTACTTACCCAAGCTTATTTTTCAAAAATAAAATCTTCCATTATTTAATTTAAAATGTATCTACAATAAGTTTGACCCCCTTGCCACAAACTCTAGCTCTTACCTGTAGATAATATAATAATAGTGGAAAATAATAATGTGTGTATTATACACCCTAAAACAACACAATAAAGAATTATAGCTAATAAGCCAGACTTGGAGATAAAATACAAATTTTTTAAATACTGAATTAATCCAAAAAGAAGATCGAAAGATTGGGAAAACAGAACAAAAGACAGGTGAACATAGAAAACAAGTATCAATATAGTATCTTTAAATTGAATGATGTCAGTGTAATGCTCTAAACAGCTCAACTAAATGCTAGATATTTCCAGATTTGATTTAAGAAAATAAAAAATAAGACCAGCTAAATACTGCCTATAAGAAACTCACTTTAAGTTAAAAGATCAATGAAAAGCTTAAGGGTGTAAATGGTAATCTGAAGAAAGCTGAAGTGACTATATTAATACTAATATTTTGAAGCTATTGTAAATGGGGTAGTTTTTCTAGTTTCTCTTTCAGAGAATTTGTTACTAATATACAAAAATGCTTTTGATTTATGGGTATTGATTTTATATCCTGCTACTTTGCTGAATTCATACATTTTCTGGTGGAATATTTTGGATCCTTTAAGTATAGAATCATATCATTGGCAAATAGTGATTGTTTGAGTTCTTGTTTTCCTATTCATATCCCTTTAATTTCTTTCGTGTGTCTAATTGCTCTGGCTAGAGTTTCAAAAACTATATTAAATAGAAGTGGTGAAAGAGGGTATCTCTGTCTTGTTCCAGTTTTTAGAGGGAATGCTTCCAATTTTTCTTCATCTATAATGATGTTGGCCTGGGACTTAGCATAGTTAGCTTTTACAATGTTGAGATATGTTGCTATTATCTCTAGATTTTCCTAGTGTTTTGAACATGAAGGAGTACTATATTTTGTCAAATGTTTTTTCTGCATCTATTGAGATGACCATGTGATTATCTTTAAATCTATTGATGTGATGAGTTACATTTATTTATTTCTATATGTTGAACCAAACTTGCATCCCTGGGATGAACCCCAGTTGTTTGTGGTGTACTATCTTTTTAATATGTTTTTGTATTCAATTTGCCAGAATTTCATTGAGAATTTTTACATTGATGTTCATTAGAAATATTCATCTGAAGTTTTCTTTCTTTGATGTGTCTTTGTCTGGTTTTGGAATCAGGGTGATATTGGCTTAACAGAATGAGTTTGGAAGTGCTCCCTCTTTTTCTATTTCATGGAATAATTTGAGGAGTATCGATATTATTTCTTCTTTGAAAGTCTTGAAGAACTAGGCTGTGTATCCATCTGGTACTGGGCTTTTCTTTGTTGGTAGGTTTCTGATGGTGTCTTCTATTTCATTGCTTGAAATTGATCTGTTTAACTTGTATATATCATCCTGATTCAGTTTGGATAAATCACATGATTCTAGAAATTTGTTGATGTCTTTGATATTTTCTATTTTATTGAAGTACAAAAGTCCCCAACCATTTTATTTATTTATTATTCATTCTAATTATGTATTTATGAGAGCAGAATGCATTTTGATTCATTGAACACAATTTAAGCACAACTTTTCATTTCTCTGTACATGATATAGTGTTGTACCATATGTGCAGTCATACATGTACCTAGGGCAATAGTGTCTATCTCATTCCACCATCTTTCCTGCCCCTATGTCCCCTCCTATCCCCTTTCTCCCCTTTGCAAATTCTAGCTCTTTCCAACTAGCTTCTTTCATTAGCATAATGACTTGAAGATTCATCCAAGTTGAAGCTTTTTATCAATAGTTTATTCCTTTCTCTTTCTGAGAAGTGTTTCATTATATGGATATGCCACAGTATGTTTATCCATTCATCTCCAGATGAACATTTGGATTATTGCTGGGTTTTGGCTATTATAAATAAAACTGTTCTGTGTTGTGTACAAGTCTTTTGTGGACTTTGTTTTCATTTGTCTTGAGTAAACACCCAGGAAGAAAGTAGCTGGAGAATGTGGAAGGAATGTATTTGACTGTATAAGAAACTTCCAAACTGTTTTCCAACATGATTGCCATTTTCCATTTCTTCCAGAAATGCTTGAGAGTTCCAATTCCTCTACATGATTGCCAATACCCTTGTTGAAAAATCGTTAGACCAGATATATGTAAGTGTATTTTTGGTCTCTCTATTTTGCTTTTTGTTGAACTTTATACCAATACCACATTGTCTTGATTACTGTAGCCTTGTGATAAATCTAGAAATCAGATAATGTAAGCTCATCAGCTTTGTTTTTCTTTTTCACATAAGTTTTTCTTTCATTTTTATAAGTCTTTCACATTTCTATATGAATTTTATAATCAGTCTGTCCATTTCTATTCAAACTGAAAAGCTTCTTCTCAGCAAAAGAAAGAATCAGTGAGGTGAATAGACAGCCTACAGCTTGGGAACAAATTTTTACCACGCACACATCAGATAGAGCACTAATCTCTAGGGTATATAAAAGAACTCAAAAACCTTAACACCAAAACAGACAAACAAACAAATAACCCAATCAATAAATGGGTTAAGGAGCTGAACAGACACTTCTCAGAAGATGTTATATACTCAATCAACAAATATATGAAAAAATGTTCAACATCTCTAGCAATTAGAGAAATGCAAATCAAAACTACTCTAAGATGTCATCTCACTCCAGTCAGAATGGAAGCTATTAAGAGTACAAACAACAATGTTGGCAAGGATGTGGGGGAAAAGGCACACTCATATGTTGCTGGTGGGATTGAAAATTGGTGCAACCAATCTGGAAAACATTTTGGAGATTCTTTGGAAAACTCGGAATGGAACCACCATTTGACCCAGCTATCTCACTCCCTGATTTATACCCAAAGGACTTAAAAATAGCATACTACAGCAATGCAGCCACATCAGTGTTTATAGCAGCACAATTCACAATAGCTAAATTGTGGAACCAACCTAGATGCCCTTCAACAGATGAATGGATAAAGAAACTGTGGTATGTATACACAATGGAATATTACTCAGCTTTAAAAAGGAATAAAATCATGGCATTTTCGGGTAAATTGATGGAGTTGGAGAATAATATCATGCTAAGTGAAGTAACTCAATCCCCAAAAACCAAAGGCCGAATGTTTTCTATGATATGTGAATGCTGATCCACAATGGCAGGGGGTGGGGAGGGAGCATGGGAGGAATGCAGAAATTTTAAATAGGGCAAAGGGGAGGAAGGTGAAGGGAGGGGGCATGGGAGTAGGAAAGATGGTGCAATGAGTTAGACATCATTATCCTAAGTGCATGTGTGAAGACACGAATGGTGTGACTCTACTTTGTGTAAAACCAGAGACATGAAAAATTGTGCTCTATATGTGTACTATGAATTGACATGCATTCTTCTGTCAAGTATAACAAATTATAATAAATGAATTTTTTTTTTTTAGAAAAACTTTGAAAGTACAAGTCATCTAAACCAATCTACGGTAACTGAAAATGGATCAGTGTTTAAGTTTTACGTCTGTTGAAGGAAAGTAACATAAACGAATGAAGCTGCCACAACTTGATGCCTGAGGAAGGTACAGACGTGGTCGTTCCATCATGTTCACAGAACTGTGAGGCTGGTGGCTCTGAGTTTCAAGAATGCCACAGGCTGGCCAGTGTTCCCTTTGCTGGCCACTTTAGTAGATAATGGAATTGCACTGTGTGACTTTTCTAAATGATTTTGTTCCAGAAGTTCTATATGTTTATTAATGTATTCCTGGTCTCTCAGCATTTCTGATCTGTTACATATTCCAAAAGGTTAAAGTTTCTAACCTGTCATTACTTTAAAAAAAATTTTGTATTGGCTGTCATGATTTTTAAAATGGCTCTAAGAGGTGATCACCCAGCCCCCACCTCCCCAGTTGAGAACTGCCTTATTCTCGCCACCTGTGCTTGAGCTCTATGATTGTGTTCACTGAGCCTGGCCAGAGTCGCCTCCTCAGGAATTTAGAATTGGGAGAGCAAGACATGATGTGGCTCTCTGTCATCTGTGCATAGGCCATTAGAGCATTGTCAGGCAGCAAAGAGGTGCTGTGACAGCCTCCTGGGAGAAAAGCTAGCCAATTCTAAGACAGGCAGAAGCCAGGAACAAATGCCTCCCTCAGGTCTCAGGTGAGACTCAGTCACTGTGTTTGGTGACCTGAGATGTCTCTGTAGCCTTCTACTACAGTCACGCTGCACAGAACATTATGATCAATGGCAGGCTGCCTATGTAACAGCAGTACCATAAAATCATATTGCCCACAGCCACCTTAGTTTGTGTTAAGTACACTTCATGATGGGCGGACAATGATAAAATCCTCACCAATGCATTTCTCAGAATGTGCCCCCACCCTCAAGTCACCAGTAACTATGCTTCTCTTTTTCCACCAAAGCTGTTTTGAAGTGCATTCCGTTCCAAGCCACCCCCAAGAAAATTGATTTTGATGGTTACACAGCCATGAGCCCACTCATTCCTGTTATTTTCAGTATTTTTACTTTGAATTCTGAAGGAAATTTAGTACAACCCCTTCCAATGGCAAATACACAGCAACTGCCTTTGCTTTTCCTCAAAGTAACAATGAGTTGTCTTTTGTGATGAAAGAGGAAACCACTGACCAGTGACGGTTGGGCTGGGTTTCTAGCAAGGCAGAGGGAAGGAGCTCTTTTCCTATCTCCAGACAGGGATGCCGAGAGCGAAGCTGGGAAACAAAACTATCCTGAAATTGTCTTCAAGGAAATTGTCTTCACGTCTCCCCATCTGGAAAATCTCTCATATATCTCATCTCAATTCTTCAGCCTTTTTCTCGGGCGATCAGAGAACAGTTATTACTGGTCTCTTTCTCGTACCTATCAGTAAGGTGCTCTTCAGCCTTCTGTTGTTCTAGGCTGGACGACCCATTTCCTCACTGTGTCATAGTTCCTGCTCTATCCAGAGTGGGATCCAGTTTGCTTTTCCATTCCTGGCTGCACACCGCCCCCACCTCGCTCAATTGCTACATTAAAGTGGATGTAAATCAGTCTTCTCTTTCTACCTCCCAAATGTTCCCTTAGTCTCCTCTCCTGCTTCCCTCTCATTCCCTGTGCTCACCAGCTCTCACCTCCCCTCTCTCCTGTCTTCCTGCATCCCACAAATAACTGCTGAGGATGGCCCGCTCCTTCACCATGGCCTTTTCCTGAGGTCCATACCACCCCCTGGTTGTAAAGCCTTCCTTCTTCCAAATGAAATAAAGTCTCAACCCTAGGTTTGCATTCATTCACCTCCTCCATCATCTGGTCCAATCCATCTCCCACTACAACACTTTTGTGTTTCCTGTGATCCCATGGAGCTTGCTGATTACTAGACGTAACACCATGAACTTGCACATATTGTCTTGTTTCCACATGCCCTCTACACAACTTTCCTTCCCTTTTCTCAGCTTGCCCAAATCCTATCATCTATTCCCCTTTACTTCCAAAACTTAGCTTGATGGGCCTTCCTTTGTGATCCTCCTGGGTAAGGATATGTCACTCTGGGCTACCTGGTCACATGGTACGCATTTCTTTTTATACTTTACAGAACTTCTTAAAGTTCCCAGTGGAATCTTTCGATTTAGGTCTCTTCCCCTCACTAGAAAACAAGCTTTTGGAGAACAAAGCCAGGTCCTACACTTCCCGCTAAGGCTTCGGGTGTCTAACTCAAGACAAGGTGCCTGTGAACTCATTAATTAACTTGTGAATTCTAATATGTGACCTACAGCCAAGCTGTAGGCTCACAACAGCTTCCTCTGGTCATGTGATGCTGTTTCAGAAGATGCATGAGGTCAAATGACTCAGCAAAAATTTGCAGGCCAAATGACAGGAAATAAGAGCTTCAAAAGCAGGCTCCGGTGACATTGATCAAAAACACATGTGCCTAGAGGAGGTTTTCTACAGCACACACCAAAGGTCTGCAGGCCCATTCGGTGCCTGGAGGGGAGGGTGGCTGCTGAACCACAGGCTCCCTAGTGTCCCTCTCCTGGTGCCCAGTGAGGGGACCTGAAAGGCCTGTGGAGCTTTGTTGCATGTATGCAGAGGCCTATCTGCCTTATCCAAGAATTCTACTCACCATGCTTCTGCAGATTTGCCCCTCTAGGGTTTTTAGAAGTAAAATCATTTTTTGATAAAACAGTTTCAAAGAGGAATAACATAATTGCACATTTCCCCACTTTCTTGAGCTGTCAAAGATACTATCTGACCTCTTCTTAATAGCTCTGTGCTGATCTCAGGTACAGTGATTGCTGTTTTTCCTACAGGATTGCCCACCCTCTACTGAAGAGGCAAGAAGACATTATGTTTCGAATAATCATGATTACAACTCTAATAATAGCTAAGCCTGACCAGCACTTTCTATACACCGAGCACACCCAGATGCCTTCTAGATACATTCTTTCATTTTTGCCTCACAATATCCCTCAGAGGTAGATGTTATCTTTTGCAGATTTTGGATGAGATAATCAAAGAGCAGAGAGGTTAAGTAACTTGCCCAATGTTGTACTGCAAGTTAAATAGAAGAGATTAAGCCCTAACCTGAGTCCTTGAGCTTCAGATCCTACACTGCAAATCCTGTACTATGCTTCCTCCCTGGGTACAAGTTGGCTTGAGATACAGTGACCAATCGGTCCCAGGACTTTTTTGCCCCTAGCACTGTGAAAGTGCTCAATACAGGAAAAACAGGAATAATTAGTCACCTACCTTGAAAACTAGAGAATGCTCTGCCAAAATGCTTGGCTTTTGTAGGGCCGTGTTCCTCTCCCAATGTCTATTCCTAGCTCCTGAGGCTGGGGAAATAATCCATTAGCCAAGAAAGTCAAACCAATAAGTATGGGCCTTTCTCTGCAGGGACAGGAGACACACTGGGGCTTTCTGCCATTAAGCCTCCCTTTAAGGCATTTTGTTCAGTATTAGTGAGGAAGAAATTTCCATGAATAAAAATTAAGTTCTTTATATTTAAAACAAGAAGATGGCTATGTGGACTTATTGTGGATAATTCCCTACTTTAGAGTTGTATTGTGGGGCATGTTGAAGAACTTATCATTTAGATCATTAAAAAACCTAAAAGAGATCTTTCTTTCCCATGCATTATTTGTTTCATATGTCACTTGGCTAAAATGTGACTCTGGTCTTGTGATGTAGGTGCATTCTCAGGGACGAAGCTTTGGCTGCAGTAGTACCCCAATACACACCCACAGGTATCACAGAAAAGGAAGGTTTCAATGAGAAGAAAAAACAATGGTGAAGTTTGCAGCAAGAAACTGCTTACTTCCACAGGAACAGTTGTAAGCAGAAACCTGAGTTAATTGACATTACAGTGCTAGTTAATTCCAGTGGGATTTTAGTGCTTCTTCAAAACTAGTATTGTAGGCAGTATCCATACACCACAGGACTCCTTCCTTAATTTGCCCGGTCTTCCAGCCTGAGAAAAGTGTGTGGGATTTGTGATCGCCTTTTTCCTCAAAGACCTTTTCTAAAAACGTTTGTGTCTGCGGAGGCTGAGGTTAATGGTAGTCTGGCCTCCAGAATATGAGGCTGTGTGTATTTGGAAGACGTTGCTTCCTCGTGACATTAAATGCTCCCTTGAGAGTTCAAGATGAATCTCCAGGCAAAATAAACTGAGGGACTTTCTGCCTGCTTCTTGTAACTACACAAGCTGGGATATTCTCTTAGCAGGAAGACTTAATATTTCAGGAAAAGAGAAGCAGCAGAAGAAAGCTGATCAGCCTCATGGCTAGACGGGAGGGAGCTGTTTCTCTCCTGGATGGCCTCAGTTTATCTTGGACTCCACATGCAGCAGTCTGCAGAACCTGGATGGACAGTCATTCTCTAGGGGGATGTCCATAAGTCTTTACACCTCACCCTCCCCAAAGGGACTCCCTAGTTCCAAGCAGACAATGGGTATTTGATGGGACAGCCAGATGACTCTTCAGTGAGCTATATAACTCCTTTAGGAACTAGAAACTAAAGAGTTTAAGGCTGCCAGAAAACATGGCTAATTTGCTTTTCCTAACTAAACAAAAAAATATTCCATGGAAAATTATAAAGGCATTTATAAAGGACATTGAGGTTCGTGTTTCTGTTCAATTATTTTTCATTTTCTTCTTAAAAATTTAACTTATTATTTCATTTTCTTCTTAAAACAAAAAGGTCAAGAGATTTCCCTCCTGCAAAACCAAACAGTCTGTTTTCTTTCACAGGAAGTTCATGACATCTTCATGGAAGGAAGCGGTCTCCTTGCCTAGGTGTATCAGGGCTACATTGGCTTTCTCTCTCAGGATGCTTGCCTTTGGAATTCAGCCACTATATTTGAGGAAGCCCAGGACCTAAGGAGAAGCTGACATGGTAAGAAGTCAAGGCTTCCCCCAATAGGTAGCACCAACCAGGCCCGGTCAAGCCTTCAAATAGTGACAACTCTGGCAACATGTGGTTGCAATCTCGGGAGAAACCTTTAAACTAGACCTGCTTTCAAATTCCTGACTCATACAAACTAAGGGCAATAATAAATGATTATTATTTTTTAAGCTATTAAAGTTTGTCATGACTTGTTAGGGAGCACTGTTCTGCTGTCCTTGAGTTCGTCCCTTCAGAATTAAAACATGACTGCTATAGATCTTGACCTCACGCCATCATTTCAGGTAAATATAATAAATATTTTCAGGGTAGAATTCAATCATCTTATAATAGGCATCAGGCAGTTAAAATTTTCCAAATCCAAATCTGGACGCGGGGCTGCGTTACTGAAAGCTTCAGGACTGGCTAGATTATCACGATCTTTTCAAGCAAGAACAGTGAGCTACCCTAAAATACTTTAGACAATCCACACAAATTGACCACTAGCAAGCTCACTAAGGAAACCCCATTTGTAGCATCCATTGCATCATTTTAAAAGCCACTGATTTTGTCAACAGAAGCCTATTCCTAACATGACCTATGCCAATTAGCAAACCTTCTGCTATTGATCATAGTGAGAGATCACAGAGGCTCTCATGAGAGCTGTCTCTGGAACACCTGCTTCCTAATTAGAATGCCGGCTCTCTACCCTAGGGTGTGTGTGAATTCACACTCAGAACAAGTGGCTGTACCTAGGGGAGTGCGGCCTGGAATACACTCAGGAGAGCATACTGCCTATGATGAAATTACGGACACTATAACACTCAACTGGCTTTCCGACCTCAAGTTCACTCCCAACTCCCCTAACAAGCACCCCTATCAAGTCCCACAAATAATTTTCACTCACTTCTGAGGAACCCCACTCACTCAAACACAGGGGTGGGATTCCTTTCTGAGACCTCCCAGTATGAGCTATAGAGACTCTAAATTGGCTTGCAGGCAGCTATAAGATGTGCCTATTTCTCAAGGAAGGCACTTTAGACCAAACCTATATTCAAGAAAAATATGCAGTATTTTTTTTTTATCTGCCTCATAACTTGCTATGAGAGTCAGTAATCCTCATTATGGCTGAGGCTAGGGTTTGATTCTTGGAGCCTACAAGATTAACACCAGGATCATCTTATTCCTTAATGGCTGCCTCCTGGTTCTCACAAGAGAGGCAATGGAAAGATGCAAATATTAAATCCCCACAAAGTACCTATGTTCTCCTCAATCTCCAGCTGTGGGTGGATAGAAAATGCCCTATTTTCCCAGTGGCAGACATCAGCCAAGGTTATCAAGGCACACGGGCATTTACTGAGGAAAATGGAGCGGCCAATAAAGTTGGCCCAGGTGACAGCTGGGGCTGTGGGGAGTAACCCAGGAGAGGTCTGTTTTCCAGCCTCCCTAATGCCAATTGTGGACCTAGACAGGCTCCTTGACCTTTCCTGGCCCCTGCATTTCCTCATCTATACAACAGAAGGTAGAAATGATCCCTCCTGCTGCCAAGTTCTGCCCACTCAGAGCTGCCATTGCTGGAGAACCTGGTTTCGCTACCTTCTTTGATGTTCCCATATTTCCCCCTGTCCTCCTGTCTTCCCTTATCCTCTCCTCCTCTCTCTTTCACTCTATATAGAGTACTTGCTGTAACCTCAGGACAGTCCCTGCCCTCAAGGACCTCACCATCTAGTAAAGAATATATGGATAATAATGCCCACACACCCATTATTTTAATAAGAATTAATACAAAAATGTCAATTGCCAATGTCATATATAAATATTAAGTATCCCCCTCCAAAAAAAACAAAAAAAAACAAAAAAAACTCATGTGTGAAACAATGCAAGAAAATTGAAATGATTGGGTTAGGAGAGGTTGAACCTAATAAATGCAGTAATCCTCTCATAGAGATTAACTGGGTGGTAACTTTAGGTAGGCTGGGTATGGCTGGAGAAGGTGGGTTTTATATTTTGTGAGCGGTTTAGTCTCTCTGCTTCCTGTTGGCTATGTCCTGAGCCACTTTCCTCCACCGCACTCTCCCATCTTGACGTTCTGCCTCACCTTGAGCCCTGAAGAATGGAGCCGACTGTCAATGGACTGAGACCTCTGAAACCCTGAGACCCAAATAAACTCTTCCTTCACCATAATTGGTCTGTTCAGGTCTTTTGGTCTCAGCAATGAAAAAGCTGACTAAAACAGCTCCATGTAGGAAACACGCTAAGCACTTTTCATGTGTCAGCTTGTTTCACTGAGTTCCCACAACACCCCTTGTGGCAGGAACTGTTAGTACTCAGTGTGAGCTTCCGGAAAGCCAAGGATGCTCCTCGAGCCCCACAGCTCTTGCCCAACAGAGTATCTCGAGCTAACCAAAATCACAGAGCAATGTGACAAGTGCTGCCATAGTGTGGTCAGCACTGTAAGACAGTGACAGGAAGGAAAAAGAGCCTCTCCCTCCATGAATCTAGAAAGGTCCTTCAAAGAGGTACTTTTAAAGAATGGGAGGGGCCTTACCTGGTGGAAAAGAATTGATTGCATCATTAGATTAACTCAGGAAGTGATAAGGAAGCAATAAAAAAATGCCACTGACATCTAAAAATATCATAATAAAGGAAATTACCTTTGTAATGTTGATGATGCTTCACTTTTTACACACTCACACACAATGCCCACTTCATGGGTTCTACTCTTGCTTCATTTCCTCCTTTATGCTAAGTGATGACATCTACCTTCGCTGACGGGGTACAGGAATTCTGTCTTAGAACTTGCCTTCCCCAAGCTTCCGGTTTATGCATTTGGAAATCACGTGGTTATTTTCTAGGGCAAGTGCTTGAGTGTACTTTACTTAAAACGTGTTCTAGAGCAGATCTGGGGAAAACCCTTCACTTTCTAAGAACACTGGCAGCTACATGGAGGCCTTAGATGATGGCTCCATCATTTAAGTTCTAGTTTCGACTTACACCCGGGCACATATTTTGGAGTTGGGAAGTGTGGAAATGTGAAGTTTTACAGCTCAGCCAGCACTCATGTCTTTCTCTTTAGGTGACAGGAACTCAATTTTTCTTGGGCAACCACGTCTCAGACAATCTCAGTCCAAGTCTTGAGAGTGCCCCTGGCCTGGCCAGTCAAAATCACAGTCATGATCCAAGCTGGACTACTGAGTATTAACCTTGGGACTTTTACTGCCTCTTGGGAAAGAGGCACATTTTTACCCTTTTTGGTAACCAACCTGGTGGAATATAAGCTTGGAGAGTCAACTTGGCCATCACTGAAACAAGCTAACACAGTGTCAATGTTTCTGCTCAGGGTGATCAATTCCCTTCTTGGCTTTCTTCCAGCCCCACATGAGGCTACTCATGTGATTGCAATTGGGACTGTCAGAGGAGCCCTTGATAGGACACACAACGACTACTGGTATCACCTTTATTCAAGAGGCCAGTGCTGTCCCTGATCCCTTCCTTGATCCCCACATCCCAGCTAGAATTCCATAACCCCTCCAACTACTTAAAAACTGCTCTTTTGTCTTAGTGTTATATTTTTGCTTCCAACTCTTCCCTTTTTCCCTGCCAAGACCTGTCAACCTCGTGGCACAGACACCTCTTCACACCCTAGCAAGTACAGTCAGTCTGCAACCCTCTCTGTCAAGATCAGCCCTTCCATCACCAGGTGACACCATCTTATGGCCAGAGAGCTTTCAACTTTCTGCTGAGGCTTCAGGTTCTTTGTGCACAACAATGAAGTGCCAGGCTTCTTAACATCTGTGACCTTGACATCAGTGTGTCTGAGACTGCTTGCTGCTCATGCCATCCCCCATCAGGAGAGCAGACTGGGTTGCCTGAATGAGTACATCAGCACATAACCATGCTGCCTATTATGTGTGATGGCACAGCCATTTCTCAGAGCTTATTAGGTAGCATTGTGCCCAGCATTATGATCATCCAGGTTGATACTCTGATTTGCTCTGGTTGGTGACCCACTGTGATGTTTCTGGGTCAGAGACCACTGGCAATATTAACATAACTGAAAGGAACTCCTCCTCAATTTTGAAATAGAATATTTCAAATATTCTATTTGAAATCCTCTAGTCTTCTTAGGCCACTTTAGAAAGTATATCATAGGAACATTCCTGATACTACACCACCTTTCCTCTTGGGAGTCAGCCAAAGAACAAAGGCCATTCAAGTTTCCTTTCAATGCTTTATTTGTGGACAAATTGCAAAATAAGCAGAGTCGAACCAAAATTTCAAGCAGGTCTTAACTAAGATTGGTTTACATTTTACAAGACTGCTCATATACCAATTCTTAAGACCAAGCATGCATTTTCCCACAGAAACAGTGTCATAAACTATAATAAGAGCCTCTCATCTCCATCCACAAGTGCCAAAAGTAATTATAATACCAAGAGCACTCTTCCAACAATTATATTTCAATTCCTATATATAATGCCACCTCTATAAGAAAACTCCAATTGCATTTTGAGGTCAAACTCAGGGTTCAAACTCCTGCATTTTTCTTGGTAGCATGAAGGAGAATTGCTTGTTTTAATCAAGCATTCATTCAGTCTCACAAATATTTATTATCCATTTTGCACCAATCACATGATCTAGATGATGCTGAAGAAATAGCAATAGACAAAAGTTGCCCCCAGGTCTTTTGAAATGGGGACACAAAGTAAATTGCTGCCATATTTATCCAGCACAATGGAGGAAGGGCCATTCCACTGCTTCTCCCAAAATGGCTAGAGTGTCTCAAGGGAAATTTCCATTTTTACCCTAAAATGCAGTCTCTCAAAATGTCTGTTTTCTATCTTAACAATGTTTAGATCTGATCTTCACTTTGATTTCCATTTTCACATTTAACCATTGAATGAACTAGAAGAAAATCATCAGGATAAGACATATTCTCCCTTCTTTCATGTGGGGAAAATAAGACCCTGGGAGGCAAGTTGAGCCTTCTTTGAGCTTGACCAACTTAGGGCTTCAGATTCCTTGAGACTTTTGAAAGGGCTGGGGTTGGGGGATGGAGGTGATGCTCTACACACAAATGGCTCCTCCAGAACTGCAGATTTGCAGTCAATTCAGATGGCAAGAAAGATATGACATGGTTCTGCCTCCCGTCTGAGAGAACCTTCTGGGGAAATTCACTTGGACTCTGCTTACCTGTCTAATGCTTGCTTACCTCCTTAAGTAACTGAGCACCCTTCGGCAAGACTAACTGCACGATGGAGTTTACATATTTACTTTGCTCTTTACTACTTCTCATTTATTCACACAGAACACCCCAAATCTTCCAGAGTTTGAAGGTAAACATGCCAATTTTCGAGTGCTCATCGATTCTTATAGAGTGAACTCATTGTCATTTCCCTTGTTTAGTGGTGTTTGTGATGAGGGACGGGGAAACAACTTTCCCTTTCAGAAAGAAAACATCAAACTCCAAGAGTAGAAACCTCATGATGCTTTCTATCTTCTCCTTTTCCCTCTTGATAGCTTGATTTCTCTGGATTAATTTACATTAAACATTTTTATTTGTTTTGCAAAAGGTTCACAGTTAAAAGCAGTGACTTCTCTATGTCATCTTTAGATTATTATTATGTCATCTTCTGTTGAAGAGGGCAAGGTGAAAGTTAAAAAATAATAATAATTTTTAATAAACCCTAATGGTTATGCAGATATTGCATAACCATTAGGGTTTATTAAAAAATATTATTATTTCTTAAAACTGGCTTTCACTACTGGAGTGGCACATTTTTCTATTGAGCTGATACCAAAAAAGTGAAGCAACCTTCTAAAGACGCAGACAAATGTTTTTGGGAATACAATTTTTTAAGATAATGGGAGGAGACAATTATGTTTGTTGTAATTGGCAATAATAAATTATACATAACAGACATGTGTGAAAGATAAAGAAATTCCTTCTCCATCACTTCTATTCCCATGGAGAATGACTTTCCAAAGGTCACTGAAATTAGTTTGGATACTTGTTG